ATGGTGATTTTGTTGATTTCAGTTCTCAATTTGATTATTTCCTGCCATCTTGTTCTCTTAGGTGAGTTTGCTTCTTTTTGTTCTAAAGTTTCTACATGTTCTGTTAATTCACTAGTTTTGGATTTTTACAGCTTCTTTATGTAAGCATTTAGTGCTGTGAACTTTACTCTTAACACTGCTTTCAATGTGTCCCATGAATTTGGTTATATTGTATGGTTATTTTCATTGAATTTTAGGAAATTTCTTTCTCAATCCATTGAACATTGTTTAATTTCCATGTGTTTGTGCATTTTCTGGTATTAGGATTGCTGTTGACTTCTAGTTTTAAACCATGGTTATTTGATAAATTAGATTGAGTTATTCCAATTTTTTGTATTTGTTGAGATTTGTTTTGTTACCGAGTATGTGGTCAATGTTTGAGAAGGTTCCATGAGGTGCTGAGAAGAAGGTATATTCTTTGTTGTTTGGATGGAATAGTCTATAGATGTCTGCTAAGTCCATTTGGGTTATAACATCTGTTAGTTCTCTTATTTCCCTGTTCATTTTTTGTCTGACTGACCTGTCTAGTGGTGAGAGTGGACTGTTAAAATCTCCCACTGTTAGCGTGTGAGATTTAATGTATGATTTAAGCTTTAGAAGTGTTTCTTTTACATATGAGGGTACCTTTGTATTTGGGGCATAGATGTTAAATATTGAGATTTCCTCTTTGCAGATTTTTCCTGTGACTAATATAAAATTACTTTCTTTGTCTTTTTGACTGATTTTAGCTTGAAGTCTATTTTGTTAGATATTAGGATAGCTACACCCACTTGTTTCTTAGGTCCATTTGATTGATACATTTTTTCCCAACCCTTTATTCTGAGACAATGTCTGTCTTTGAGGTTGAGATGTGCTTCCTGTATGCAGAAGAAGGATAGATTCTGTTTTGATATCCAATCTGTTAGCCTGTGCCCTTTTATAGGTGAGTTGAGTCCATTTACAATAAGGGGTATTAACAGTGGTTGCTATCTTCTGTTAATTTAGTTTTCATTGTTGGTGATGTTAATTTGTGCATTTTTCCCTTCTTTGGGATTTGCTGCTATGAGACCATCAATTGTCTCTGTTTTTGTTGCTGTAGCCAACTTCCTTGGGTTGGAGTTTTCCTTCTAGTATTTTGTGTAGGGTTGGGTTTTTGGCTGGGTATTGATGAAATCTAGATTTGTCATGGAATATCTTGTTTTGTCTTTCTATGGTGATTGAAAGTTTTGCTGGGTATAGTAGTCTGGGCTGGTCTCTTAATGTTTGCATATCGCTTGACCACCACCTTCTGGCTTTCATTGTCTCCTATTAGAAATCAGGTTTAATTCTGATAGGTCTACCTCCATATGTTACTGGCCTTTTTCTTTTGCAGCTCTTAATATTCTTTCTTTACTCTGTATGTTTAGTGTTTTGATTATTATGTGGTGAGTGGATTTTTTTTATCCAGTTTATTTGGTGTTATGTAAGCTTCCAAACATTCTCTTGAAATTATTTTTTGGTCGTTTTCTTTTGTTTCATCTATATTTGGTTGTTCAGGTCTTGCTGTTGTAGCGTCTTTAAGTTTTACTGGTGTTGTGTTGCTCTTTGTGGCGTTGTATGTGTTCTTACCTTCTTATCCTTTCCTCTAATAGATGTGGTTGGAGCTATCTGAGATTCTGTTGATTAATATTCTAGGTGCCAGTGTATCCAAAGCCCAGATGGTTGTTCCTTGTGATACAGTCAGTGCCACAGTTCTAGTTACCCCATTGGTTACTCTATGTTCCTGGAGATAGCTCAGTGCTCCTGTGCTCTGCTGCTCCCTTGGAGTTTGCTGTCTCAGGCTTACTTTGGTTTAGGTTCCTGGATTTGACCTGTTTCTGTAAATCTTGCTCTGTTTCCACTCTTGCAGAGAGGTCCCTGGCTTGGAGTTGGTCCTGCAAAGGTCTCTTGCTCTGGTCTACTGCCTCAGATTTTCCAGGCTCTGGTGTACCCATAACTGCAGAGGGCTTGGCTCAGGTATACTCCCTGGAGGTCCCAGACTCATGCTCAGACCTGCAGAGGTTCCAGGTTTCTGCCTGTTCCCTTTGATGTCCCAGATCAATGCCTGGACCCACAGAGGTCCTGGCTCAGTCCTACTCCCTCTGAGGTCCCAGATTCGTGCCTGGCATTGCAGAGATCTCTGGTTTTTGCCTACTCCCTCGGATGTCACAGATTCACACCCAGACTGGCAGAGGTCCTGGCTCAGGCCTAGCTCCTGGGAGGTCCTAGACTCACACCCAGACCCACAGGGGTCCTTGCTTAGGTCTATTCCCTGGAAAATTCTAGATTCAAGTCTGGACCCTCAGCAGTCTCTGGCTCTGGCTCACTCGCTCAGTGTACCTGTTCCAGTGGAGATCACTGTCTCTGGCAACTCTATAACTTATATTCGGCATAATCTTATCTCTGTTAGCTACGTAGCTTAGTACCTTTTTCAGCTAGTCAGTGACATCTTGCGCCCTCTGCGTTTGGGTGGCAACTGCAGACTGAATTCTTGCTCTTTCCAGGATTCTCCTCGTTCTTGTTGCCCCACCTCTACTTTCTACATTTGCCATGCCTCTACTTCCTGCCTGGTTACTGGCAAATCAGCATTTTACTAAATACATACAAGAAACAAGTCTTCACAGGTTAAACCATTGTCCCACAGCACGTTGTACCTTCATTTTCATGGAATTCAAGAAAGTCTTTAATTTCTTTCTTGACCCAGGGTTGTTCAGTAATTCACTGTTCAATTTCCATGAGAGTAGTCTTATTGTGAAATTCTAAGTTTAAACCGTATGATGAAATACAAGGGATTACTCCTTTTTTTTTTTTTTTTGTATCTGTGGAGGTTTGCTTTGTTACCAAGTATGTGATCAATTTTAGAGAAGGTTCCATGAGGTGCTGAGAAGAAGGTATATTCTTCTGTGTTTGGGTGGAATGTTCTATAGATGTCTGTTAAGTCTATTTGATTCATAACATCTATTAGTTCTCTTATTTCTCTGTTAAGTTTCTGTCTGGTTGACCAGTCCATTGGCAAAAGAGGAGTGTTAAAGTCTCCTACTCTTAGTGTGTGGGGTTTGATGTGCAATTTAAGTTTGAATAATCTTTCTTTTACAAATGTGGATGCTCTTGTATTAGGGGTATAGATGTTCAGGGTTGAGACTTCATCGTGGTGGATTGTTCCTGTTATGAGTTAAAGTGTCCTTTTCCATCTGTCCTGATTGATTTTAGTTTGAAATCTATTTAGTTAGATATTAGCATAGCTACACCTGCTTGTTCCATAGGTCCATTTGATTGTAAAACCTTTTCCCAACCCTGAGTTAGTCTCTGTCTTTAAGGTTGAGATGTGTTCTTGTATACAGCAGAGGGCAGGATCCTTTTCAATGTTTCTTTGACCAATTAGTCTATTTCCTCTATAATATCTTCAGCACCTGAGATTCTTTCTTCTATCTGTTGTATTCCGTTGGTTATACTTGTCTCTGTAGTTCCTGTTTACCCAGATTTTCCATATCCAGAATTCCCTTGGTTTGTGTTGTTTTTATTACCTCTCTTTCAGTCTTGAAATGTTTGCTTTACCTGTTTGTTTTTTCTTTCTTCGTTTCTTTCTTTCTTTTTTTTGGTTTCTTTGAGGGATTTATTATTTGTTTTCAATTTTTTGTTTGTTTTTCCCTCCATTTCTTTAAGGGAGTTTTTCATTTCCCCTTTAAAGGTCTCCATCTTTTTCATAAAGTTATGTTTAAAGTCATTTTCTTCTGTTTTTTCTAAGTCAGGATGATCAAGTCTTCCTGCTGTGTGACCACTGGGTTCTGGTGTTACCATGTTGCTTTTTAGGTTGTTGGAGGAATTCTTGTATTGGCGCTTATCCATCTCTTCCTTCAAATGAGGCTGGCAGTGTCTTTGCACCTTTGTTCAATCCTTGCAGTGACTGAGTATTTGGGAGTTTTTCTTGGTCTGCTCTGTACTGTCAATATCTGTCTCAGAAAGCCTCTGAGGTCTCTATAAGCCTGCTCTCTTAGTCTTCTCTTCTGGTTTGCTTACTTGGTCTTCTTTCTTGTTCCCCTCAGTGTTGTAGCATGCTCTTGGTCCCCTTACTATTGCAGCAAGCTCTCAGCTCTTAGGCATGGTGTGACTAGTAGCTTGGAGTGCCCAGTGGATGAGGCTGGATTTTGGGGGAGCCTTCCCACAAGAAATTCTCTGCTGACTGGCTAGAAAAGCGAAGGGAATTGCAGGAAGGGCCTGGGGTTTTGGCCCACTGTCGAGGTCCTAGAGAGTCTCCCATTGTGTGCTGTTCACTCACCTCTTAAGTCTTCTCAGTATTGGAGCAAGCTGTGTTTCAGAGTTCCACCAATATTGCAGGTGAATAGGTGGGTTTGGGGCAGAAACTTTAGAGAGACTTGAGTTTTGTCTATTTCATTTCTATGTTCATTTATTTTATTTTTGTTATAGACATGCTCTTACTATGTAACTTTGACTTTCATGAAATTAATTGCAGTCTTAATGACTCACCTGCCTCTGTCTCCTGTGCTGGAATTAAAGGCTTGAGCCAATACACTCTGCTTACCCATTCTTTTTTTTTTTTTTGTAGTTAGCAATTATTAATACAATTATCTCATAGAAACTAATTCTGTTGATCTCTTTGCTTCTTTTCTCCTTTTAGCACACACACACAACACTTTCTCTCTCTCTGTCTCTCTGTCTCTCTCTCTCTCTCTCTCTCTCTCTCTCTCTCCATGCCTATCTGTGTGTTGATATTTTTCTTGCAAATATAAATATTGTTCAGTGGGCTCAGAAATGGCAGGGGTAAACCTTATTTTTAGATTCCTTCTAATTGACTCAGTGATTAGATTAAAACTTCTGTTTCATGTAATCACTCAGATTTATGTGGAAATCACTCAGATTTATGTGAGTATGATGTCAATGAAGAATACAAATCCAATGCTGTCATTACTAGAATTTCTGTAACACACACTTATGGAATATTTTAGGATGCAGTGACCTATGAGGATGTGCATGTGAACTTCACTAGGGAAGAGTGGACTTTGCTTGCTCCTTCCCAGAAGAGTCTCTACAAAGATGTGATGGTAGAAACCTACAGAAATCTCACGGCTATAGGTAATACTGAGTATTTTTTCAATTTTTAAGATAAATGGACAATTTTTTCTGGTTTTTTGATGCTGCGCAGTGATCTTGATCATGAAAGAGGAAGAATGTAAATAAGTCAGGCATTGTTCTAAGGTTTGCCAAGGATTGTATTATATTTTGCGTGTATTCCAATAGTATATCATAAAATTTCTGTTGGTCTATTTTAGGCTACAAATGGGAAGATGAGAATATGGAAGAATATTATCAGCATTTTAGAAGAAATGGATGGTAATTTTCATGGGAAAATTGATATAAAAATATGTATCTGACTTCATGTTGATGTGTTATTCAGTTTTAATGAAAAACAAGGAGGGAAATAAGCATAGTCTTTTTAAAAGATTTATTATTTATTTATTATGTATACAACATTCTGCCTCCATGTATGCCCTCACGCCAGAAGAGGGCGCCAGATCTCATTACAGATGGTTGTGAGCCACCATGTGGTTGCTGGGAATTGAACTCAGGACCTCTGGGAGAGCAGACAGTGCTCTTAACCACTGAGCCACCTCTCCAGCCCCAATAAGCATAGTTTTGTTTATAAATTATTATTAAATTTTCATAACACTATTTACTTTAATGTCAGGTAGCTTATCCATGCTTTCAAAGAAGTATTCTAAGTAACAAGTAATGGAAGCAATGGATTAACAGATATAATTATTTATTATGTCATTTGAATGCTATGTCATAAAACTGTCCACTCGTTCGGTTTTATATCATGCAGGTGTTAAAAAATGATTGGATATTGATCAGGTCATCACTGTATATACAAAAAATTCCAAGAAGGAAGTAGTCTATCAAAAGCTACTGTTATATAGCTACTCATGTAGTGACTTACAAAAATATTGAGAATTCAGAATATGAGAGTCAAGAGGGTTGTTGTCTGCTGGAAGTTTAATCTCTATAGTTCATCTCAATGAGGAGCAAAACTAATGTTTATAAATGAAATGTATTTCATTTATATTTCATTTGTTGTTTACTTATAGGCATATCATATGCCAGTCTGGATACAAGCCTCGTGATCCTTAGGGATATGGACGGCAGTAAAGTATCTATATCTCCCAATCATTTAGAAGTTCTGTAATCCCCTCTATGAGCAGCCTTATTGAATGTGATAATTTGGTTTCCTGACTTCTTTTGGGATTCATCAAAGACCATACACTAGTGTAAATCCATATGAGCACAAGAAATGTGGAAACGGCTGTGTTTGTCTTGATTCACACTGCAAATGTATCGTGACTCCTACTATAGGATTACATTATTAATGCAGTCAGGGTAGTAAAGGTGTGAATTCTTACAGTTTACTTCAAGGATGTAAAGAAACTCACCTGGGAGAGGGACACAATAATAAATGTGAATAATGTACTAAATGCCTGAACTACCACAGGTATCTTAGCACACAGAAAACAGCCCATATTAAAGTTGAACCCAGTGAATCAAAAAATTTAATAATTTAATAAAATTTAATAATACCCATAGTTCTGATTCCTGTTTACACTTGCAGTAAAGAACTTACATGGAAGGTAAGCCCTGTGGTAAATCTCCAGCATATGAAACTTATTGATTATATGGTAGACTTCAAAAGAAAAAAACGATGCATCAGTGTAATGATTGTAGTAAGGAATTTACTCATGCCAGCTTTCTTCACAGGCACAAAAGAAGTCATCCTGTAGAGAATCACTATGAATGCAAGCAGTGTGGTAAAACCTTTTCATGTCACCATGAGGATTATTATAATCTTCCGTTTCAAGACTCAAGTCATACGGGACAGACATCCTATGAAGGTATTCAATGTGGCAAAGACTTTGCACATCGCAGTTATCACCAAATACCTGAAAGAACAAAAAGTGGAGAGAATCACAATGAATATAAGCAGTGTGGTAAAACTTTTAGACATAACAATCATCTTCAAAAGTATGAAAGCACTCATACTGTAGAGAGACGCTTCAAATGTAAACAATGTAGCAAATCCTTTACACTTAATTTTAATCTGAAAATGCACGAAAGAATTCATACTGTTGAGAAACCCTATGAATGTGAGCAATGTGGTAAAGCCTTTATACATGTCAGTCATCTGAAACTACATGAACGAAATCATACTGGCGATAAACCCTACGAATGTAAGCAATGTGGTAAAGCCTTTACATGTAACAGTCGTCTAAAAATACATGAAAGAATTCATACTAGAGGGAAACCCTTTGAATGTAAGCAATGTGGTAAAGCATTTACATGTAACAGTCATCTGAAAATACATGAAGTAATTCATACTAGAGTGAAACCCTATGAATGTGAGCAATGTGGTAAAGCCTTTAGAAATAGAAGCTACCTAAAAATACATGAACGAAATCACACTGGAGAGAAACCCTATGAATGTAAGCAATGTGGTAAAGCCTTTACATGTAGCAGTTATCTCAAAACACATGAAAGAATTCATACTGGAGAGAGACCCTATGAATGTAAGCAATGTGGTAAAGCATTTACATGTAATGGTAATCTGAAAATACACGAAAAAACTCATACTGGAGGGAAACCCTATGAATGTAAGCAATGTGGTAAAGCCTTTGTATGTAACAGGTTTCTGAAAATACATGAACGAAATCATACTGGAGAGAAACCCTATGAATGTAAGCAATGTGGTAAAGCCTTTGTATGTATCAATTATCTGAAAATACATGAAAGAAATCATACTGGGGAGAAACTCTATGAATGTAAGCAATGTTATAAAACCTTTTTTTGTAATAGCCATCTGAAAAGACATGAAAGAATACATATAGGGGAGAAACCGTATGAATGTAAGCATTGTGGTAAAGCATTTACATGTAATGGTATTCTGAAAGTACATGAAAGAATTCATACTGGGGAGAAACCCTATGAATGTAAGCTATGTGATAAAGCCTTTTCATGTACCAGTCATCTGAAGAGACATGAAAGAATCCATACTGGAGAGAAACCCTATGAATGTAAGCAATGTAATAAAGCCTTTTCATGTAAAAGTCATCTGAAAAGACATGAAAGAATTCATACTGGAGAGAACCATTATAAATGCAAACAATGTGATAAAATCTTTAAATGCAGTAGTTACCTGAAAAAACATGAAAGAAAGCATACTGCATAGAATCCCTATTAATGTTAGCAATGTGGTAAAACCTTTATAAATAGCAGTCATCTGAAATTTCATGAAAGAAATCCTACTGGGGAGAAACCCTATGAATCTAAGTGATGTGGTAAAAAAACCTTTTTATGTTTCCATAATCTGAAAAGATATGAAAGAGCTCATCCTGGAGAGAAACCCTATGAATGTAAGCAATGTTGGAAAGCCTTTTTAAGTAACAGTCATCTGAAAAGACGTGAAATAATTCATACTGGAAAGACATACTATTGTTGTAGGGTGTTCGAAGGTGTGTGGATTAATATCTGGGCCTTTTATTGGGTTCCATTGGTCCTCCTGTTTGTTGGTCTGCCAATACCAGGCTGTTTTCAGTACTCTAGCTCTGTAGTAAAGTTTGAGGTCAGGGATTGTGATGCCTCCAGAAATTCTTCTATTGTACAGGATTGTTTTGGCTATACTGGTTTTTTGCTTTTCCATATGAAGTTGAGTACTGTTCTTTCAAGGTCTGTGAAGAATTTTTCTGGGATTTTGAGAGCATTGCATTGAATCTGTATATTGCTTTTGGTAAGATCGCCATTTTTACTATGTTAATTCTGCCTACCCAAGAGCTTGGGAGATCTTTCACTTTCTGGTGTCTTCTTCAATTTCTTTCTTCAAAGATTTAAAGTTCTTGTTATAGAAGTCTTCCACTTGTTTGTTTAAGACTTTCTCCGAGATATTTTATGTTATTTATAGCTATTGTGAAGGAAAATCAGGTATGTTTTTGGAGTTTTTTCTACCATCCTTTTCTGGATTCTGTGGTCATGTACAAGTTAATGGCCTTTTCTTCGTGAATTTTTCCCTTTGTACCATCTCACCTGTGCAGTGATAAGAATTGTAATAATATTGTATCAATAAGAGTTTAAAATAATTAACAGTATTTTCATCTAAATATATTGGTACACAGGACAACCGAAAGAATATGTCTATTTACATGTGAAAATGATAGTCATGTACGTTGTGTTTTATTTCCTGTTCATTCTGAAGTATAAATGTAAACACTTGTTGATAACAGTTTCATTAACATTGTCTCAGAAATAAAGTATATTTCAGAGAGATGACAGTATGTTAATGGTGTTTGCTACTAAGCCTGGTGTATTGAGTTTAATACTCGAGACTCTTGCTACTAAGCCTGGTGTATTGAGTTTAATACTCGAGACTCTCTTGAGTCCCACGAGTTTTTCTCTGACTTCTACCTACTCTTAGATTATGGCATATGTGTGCCATACTCCACCACTTAAAATTTAAATACATCCTTTTAAACCCAAAGAAGTGACAGTATGTTCTCTTACTGAGGTTTTGTTGCCGAAGTGCTTGCTTCCTCTTTAGACATCCCTAAAACTTAGGTCCCTAAAACTGAAATGCAGGATAGAGTGAACAGATACCTGATCTTTCGCTTCTACATGTACACCATTGCACATGTGTATACTAATAAGCACACATGTCCTTTAAAGAAACAAATTAGCAAATCACAGAAAACAAATGATGACCTGATATTCAAGTTAGAATTTGTCTATGAGGCAATGACAAAACATTGTTAGTGTTTGAAAAACAATATGGTTCCTGTGTAAAACTTATATTGCCCTTTTTCTCTTTGAATCAAAGCTCATTTTAGGAGCACATTTTAGAATATTGAACTTTCCTCACTGTAATCTGAACATTCTAAAGAATCTGAGTAATTTTGAGTATTGTTTTGTGATGTTTGCTATATAGTGATATGTCTCTCTGAGATAATAGTTATGGAGCTTTTTCGCTAATGTTTCAGTTTCTAGGAACAAACCATGATATTTTCAGAGACTGTGCCAATAATACTTCATATCTGTTATCTCTGTGAGAAAATATGTGATCTAAGAAATGCAAGACATGTATTGCCCCCTGGTTTCACAAATTTCATTTCATTCTATAAGATAAAATTTTTCTCTGCTTTGTTTTATTTTTCTAATTTGTATGTATACATTCATATACATATGTCAGCTTCCTCACGTTTCCTATTTATTTGCATCCTTGTGTGAAGATATGTGCTTAGTGAAAGCAGGAGATGGTATTACACCATTAGAGCTAGAGTTATAAACATTTGTGACCTTGAGGGCTGATTTCAAACCGATGTCCCTGTGATTTCACCAAATGTGTTTATCTGTTAGCCATCTCTAGCCATAACATTAGTTTCTAGTGTCTTGGCAATTTCTGCAACTGATTTCCCTGCTATATGACAACTCCAATGCCTGCGGAAAGTCCTTTTATTGTGCTGCAAACAGATAAAATCTCTGGAAGAAGGATCTATTCAATGATCATTCTGATATGTTTATTGATGAAATCATGGAAATTTGCTTTATACTCCAAAAATTAGTGAATTATAGTATATTTATATCTATAGTTACTTGTAGAATGATTTAAAATGCATAGTGATCTCATAAATTTAGAGATGTTAGAAATTCTAGAGCTCAGATTATGAAAACTTTGGTTGACAATCTTTGCTGTTGCAGTCATACAACTAAGATGTGTGGAAAACAGAATCCCTAATCATATAATTGACTGATCATTAATTCACTTTTAAACTTTAATCTGGATATTATTCAGGAAGGCAGTGTCACTCTTGAGTTGAATTTGAACTAAAAATTTAACTTCCATCTTATCAACCAAGAAAGGCATCACTGAGCCTACTTTGTCCATCTAGAGTTGGCAGATATTTCCTCCAGCAAAGAATGAACACCAATCACATAAAAGGATTAAAAGTATAGATTGATAAGTATGGTGGAACATCCCTTTAGTCCACGTACTATGGAGGCAAAAGCAGGTATGTCTCTGAGTTTGAGGCCAGTCTTGTCTATGTAGTTAATTTCAGGCAATCCGGTGAAAACTGGGAGCAGCACTGATGCTAGGAGTCTGGGCTATCCAGTATCTGCTCCCTAGAGCTTTTAAAGGATGAAATTTCTAAAATCTATGGAATTTAGGGAATTGAAAGTGTTTGATATTAAATTTAACATGAGCATTGGTGACCAGGAATAGACAGGTATGATCTGTTAGAGATTTTTCTGGTTGTGTGTCAAGGACCAAATTATGGAATTTGCTAGTTAATTTTAAATGTCTTTTTGACACAAAGTGACATCACTTGGAGGTTGAAAGATATATGTAAATCTGGGTGCCCTGTATTCACATTGTGGTACATTCTCTTAAATGTTAACTTATATATAATAATTAGGCACATCTGGGTATCACCATGTCATAAGCTCGTCTTAGAGAGGCTGTATAATAGTAAAGAATGCAGAAGAGAGGAAAGGAAGTATGTGTTTATTCTCTTTATTCATTTGACTGTGTGAATGTCTGTGAGTGAGTGAGTGAGTGTGTGTGTGTGTGTGTGTGTGTGTGTATGATGCGATTAGTCCCTTGAGTTTCAATGTTTAGTAAAATAAATGTGTTTCCCCAATGTTGCATTGGGTCACATTCTTTGATCAGCTTAATGTGACTAAGGCAGTCCCTGAGAGTTGCTCAAAATGAAAAGATTCAGGATGTTATTTTATGGGACATCTTTAAGGTATCCTATTGAAACATACTTTGGACAGTTATCCTTGACTTTTGAGGCTGAGTGCTCTTCTGTGTCACTAATTTATAATTCCCATAATGCTTTCTAGTGCCTTTTCATTCTCATGTTTTTAACTCTGCCAGTGCACATGACTCTCAATCAGCAGGTATTGAGAGAAAAACAAGAGGTTGTAGATTTAATATCTTTCAGTAAATATGATGAAATAGAACAGGAAAATGACTTTAGTTGAATGGAATTATCGATATCAAGAGTTCAGAAGAGGGTAGTTCTATAATTGAAGTAGAAAAAAAATGAGCACAAAATTGTACCATTAGTACTTTCAGTACATCTCAGTTACAATAAGTTTCATCAAAGATAAAACTATTCTAAAGGTCATGTATGCAATAAATGGATATCATATTTGATGTGAAGATGGAGAATTTTTCTTATGTCACTTCCTTTAGTAAATCTAATCCAGGATTTCAAAGGAAATGACCACATCATGCTACAAAACACAAATACTGTCAGTAAATTCCTAAATTTGACTTCAGATATTCAACTAAAAAACCAACATAAATCCTGAAAGTTAGAAGTAATAATATTATAACTACAAGAACAAAGATAACTCATAATCTGAGACATAGGAAATAATACATCTTCCTATACAGGTTTAGTATTTATTAATGTACTGAACCCCAAAGCTAAAGAGAGGATTCAGTAGGGGCAGTGTTGAGAACTATAGCAATCATATCTTTCAAAATATAGTACCCATAATGGAATACTAACACAGAAATGGAATTCTCCCTCTGCAGGAAGGGAGAACAGTAATTAAGGAAAGTGTTGGAGAATATTATTTTAAGGTAAGTTACTTTTGTTTATGTTGTTTTTGTTTAACTCTATAAAACTGTGTTAAGTTGCCTGTTTAAAACCCAATTTTACTACAGCACTGCATGGCCAATAGAAAAGCAAGAGAAAGTATAGGCGGGACTGGAAAACAATATATAGAAGGAGAAAGCTGGGAGAAGAGAAAAGAATAGCCAGAAAAGAAGGATCCAGCAGCCAAAGACCTAGCTACACAGCAGGCCAAGGAGTAAGAAACAGGTATAGAGGAAAAGGAAAGGAAATGCCCAGAGGCAAAAGGTAGGTGGGATAATTAAATTAATAAAAGCTGGAAAGAAACAAGATGAGCTAAGGCATGGCATTTGTAAGCACTAATAAGCCTCCATGTGCGATTTATTTGTGAGCAGGGTTACAGACCCCCAAATAGACTTAAAGCAGTCAATAATAGTAATGTCTTAACTAATGTACAGGGAGGAATAACCTTCATGTTGAATTACAGCTCCCTTCCAAAAGGATTTTTCCAAGATTGGTAGATGGCATACCCATCAAGCAGTTATAGATGGGCAACAAATACACTTTGTGTGTGTGTGTGTGTATTTATAATATATATAAAACATGCCTCTGTATGTTTTATATTGAGTGGGAGCAATATCTCACAAGTGAAGTTCAGAGCACATTTTGTTGGATTCAATTTTCTTCCATAGTATGAAGACCCTTTTAAAAAACTTAGTTTAATCAATCTGGGTGGTGAGTATGTTTACCAACAAAGCTATCTGATGACCTCAGAAGTGACTCAACATTAAAGGCAAAATGAGTGACTTTATTTTTAAATTGGATTCTGTTCTCTGATATAACTGATAAACCAGATTCCTCTCTAAGCAAACGTATGTTGCAACCAGGGTTGAGAGGTATAACCCATCAGCTGGCACAACTGTTATAGTCAGGGATAACCATAATAATCTGACATAGAGCAGCTCTCTCAGTATACGTAG